CGTGTTCAGTGCTTAAAAACAGTATATTTAAGTTTATTTTTAATAAGAACCACATACTATTTCCTTTTTTAAAACAAAAAGTAAATAAAAATATTTATTTACACTGACTGAAAAGACATGGAATCTAGTGCTGAAATGCAAATCACATCAGTAACAAAACGCATATCAGTTATATAGCTAAAGATGTTTTCTTATTATGTATGCAGGAAACTGTGTCAATGAATATATCAAATAAAAGATCAAATATATTTTGAATATATGAAAAAATATATAGATGATATAATTATTTCTTTTTAAGTCAAGGTCAACATGTGAGTGTGCCCCTGATGGACACATAAAGTATTTTAGAAACATCAAACTCCAATCTAACTCATAGACTTACTGGGCTGTATGCTGAATGAAAGCTTGGTTCTTGGAGTGATTGGTGGAGGGACGCTTTGAGCAGGTGGCAGTGGGGAAACAGAAAGCCGTTTTTCACTTCCCATGACATTAATAACTTGGCTCTTTGGTCTTTGTGGTCTCAGTGGACTGATCTGATTGGGGGAAAAAAAAAAGAATGTTAGACCAATTTGAAGTATATTTTACACTGCAAGTGGAAAACAGTGGTCCACCACAGACTGCTGAACTATAGTTTGTAGCATCACTTACTACTGGTCATGATGGCAGATAATAAAGAGAGTTGTAATTAAGTAATATCTAGTAGGCCAAATTATATACTACAGTTGCCAAGGAATACAATGAAATCCAATTTGTTCTTAGAGCATGGCTGTTGATATAAGAGAGAAAACATGAATTTATGAGCTGTCGACATTGTGATAAGTATGTTCCAAGATATACATCATAATGCTACAATGATAGGATTTTTTTTTTGTCTCAATGCAGCATTACTCAGTCGGATTAATAAAATGTCCTTGGTCTGTCCTTTTCCAAACATACTTCTTAATATATTTTTTGCGATATTTCCTAGTTTTTTGAGGTAATGAAATGTCCTGTATAAGTATGAAGAATGTTTCTATAATAATTCTAATTCTTTCTGCTAAAATCATCAAGTTAATGTTGAGTTTTCTCATTCAGGCCACTAAACCACATAGTATTGACTAATATTTTAGTTGCTGATAGACTTTATTATTTTACATATTGAACTGAATTTTCTGTATCAGGAAAACTATAAAACTCCTAATAAGAGTTAGATAATGACTCATATACAGTGGAAATGCACTTATAATTTTTCATGTTTCCTATGGTGGAATAGTGATACCGCATCTTGTTTTCTGTTACTGAAAGTCAAGACACATTGAACTGGGAGCACTACAGAAAGGACTCTTATCACTTCCAAGAAATTATTTATCTCCCTTGCCTCCAAGCCCCATTTCAGAACATTTTCCTGTATATTTCCTGTCCCTAGGTCTCTATGCTTATGCAGGCTTTTTAACATTATTTTTAAACAAAATACAGAAAACTATTAGGTATATAGACATGTTCTTATATCACAAATTATATACTTGAAACTCCAAGCTTTTTTCAACCAAAAGGATACAATCCACCAAAACGGTAGTCAAATGGATTTTTTTACTTGTACCTTTCTAATAATATAAATAGATGCTTAAACACAAGTAAGGATTGTTAAAATCACACTTTATAATAGAAGGGATTGATCCGCAAACTGTTAGAATCTGAACAACAATCCCTCATCCTCTCCGATGCAGGAGGGAGAAGAAAACTGAGAAAAAAAGTTTTTTCTTTTGTCATATGTCCGTCCCCTTCTCCTGTTTGTCTTTTCTGTCAAGTATAGAGAAATAACTGTCAAGGTAATTTTTAAAATTAATAAATGTTACCTGCATAAAATTAATATTTTAGGAACAGCTAAATTTTTAAAATTACAGTAATGTCTGAATTAAAAATCAATATGCTATATTTATTATCTATGATGACTGAAATATGCAAAACAGATGCATATATGAAGAATCCATGGTACAAAGTAGATTAAAACAGGGAACTATTTTTTGTCTTTGAAATACATGTGCTTGACACCGCTATCTCTTATTTGTTGAAGGTCAGGCTAGACAGCATCACTGCTTGCAACAAAACTAATCAAAAGAGGCAGATTCTTATGAAGTTGTTCAAAATCTGGGACACCAGAGTTATATTCAATTTCCCAGTTAAATTACAATATGCATTTTGAGGATGGATGCTCATGTTTCAAATTTTTGAAATGCAAATTCGTGGCCGACTTGATTGTTACCGCTTGGTATCTCCTTCTCCTAATATCAAATCATTAATTTGATTGACAGTTCATGTTAAATCATGGTTTATTTAACCAAAAAAATCACAATTTACTACATGTGCACAATTATAGTATGTTAAACTCTGAACAAGTAAGCCACATATTGTGCAATATGGGAACTCAGCCTATACTTGACAAGAGGTTTTTAACACATAGTCTCAATATGCCAGTAGCTTTAGCGTCTGTTTGATCTTTAAATAGTACCTATACTGGGATTTCTAGAGAATTATTATGTTCATTTTTAACAACTATATTGTGAGTATTAGTCTTAGGAACTTGCAACAGACCTGTAATAACTCTAGAATGTGACAGCAAGAATGGCAAGATAATATTATGTCAGCCCTGTCAAAACTGAATTGGTTACCCATTTGTTTCTGAGTCCAAAGCATTGGGAATTACATTTAAAGTCTTAAAAGTTTTAGGTTCAAGATACTTTAGGAAATGCTTACCTCCCTATCATTTTGCATTTGCCCTAAGTTTTGATGGTAAGGCTGTTCTCTATATCCCATCTGAGGCTGCCATCTAGTCAACAGGAAAATGGGAAAGGGCTTACTCAGCAGCTGATCCTTAATTCTGGGAGATTCTGGATTATCTGGAGAGATTGGACCGGCAGCCTCCTTAATGGCCTTTGGCAATTTTTTTGTTAAAAAATTCAGGAAGGCCTTTGTTTTATAAGTATATATAATTTTAATAATTACTTTTAATTATCTGCCATATTTGACTATGCTTTTACTGCATTTTTTTCTTTTAGCTGCTTTATTAATTTTATTGAATTTAATTGTTTTAGCCATTGTGAATGAGTCAGCACTATTTAGTTGGATAATAATAATAATAACAACAACAATAATAAGTTATTAAACTTGTATGCCACCCGACTCCCAATGACTCTGGGTGGCTCACAATAAAGGGATTACAATAAAACCAATAAAAGATTAAAGAAAAAATCTAAAGGTGCGTTTGTGCACCCATTTGTGTATAAACATTCAGAAGCAGGAATGAGATTTTTGAGGAAGAACCTAATGAAACCATTGTGGTACTTAAACCCAGAACTAAGACCAGGTTTTCTCTACAGAGTCACCATATAACTGACTTTTTCTAAATTTTACGAAGAAGATCAGATAACAGGTGAATCAGTTACAATTCCTGCAATGTTGTGGCAGATGCCTCTCTATTGCAAAATACATCACCTCTATGATGTAAGTGTGAATGCAGCAGCCCCATAAGGAGAATGAATTATTTCCACACATCTGTCGCCTGGGAAAGAAGGTAAGGATAAACTGAAAAACGCATACAATTTGCCATGTTTGTAAGGTTATTTAATTTTTATATTATTCATACATTCACAGTACTTCCTTTGCACTGATTTTTTAAAAAGAGAATGAGGAGGGACACATGAAATTATACACCAGTTAATTCAATGCCTGGTCCCTAAAATCCCTAAAGAAATGGGAAGGTATTAGTAAATTGAATATCATCAAGTACAAAGAAGAATGAGAACCAAAGAACCAAATCTCTTACCAAAGATTTGACTCAAAGAAGCTTACAATGACACACAAACATGGATTTTACACCATTTTACCTCCACAGCAACTCTTGACTGAAAAATGATGAGGTGCCAATAATGTCATTGAACTATATGGCTAAATGGGTAATTCATTTTCATCTTTCTAGTTCAGAACTCTTTTAAACACCATACTACCTCCAGATATGTAAACCCACACTAGCCATAAAGGTAATAGAGCTGTTTTCCATCTCAGCATAGAAAGGTAAAGTAACCAAAGCCTTTCATACCAATTAGCATGTACAGAGAACATGTTCTGTATTATCTAAGACCTAACAAATTGCTATCATATAATGAAAATCTGAGTTTAAGAATTCCTGCCAAGAAAAGTACATGGACATGTCCATGCAGTCATCTGAAATTGTGCTCAATTCAAGGGACTCTACCTTTAATAAAAACTAAGGGCTGCAATCAATACTATGTGAACAGGTTTCTGATAGCACAGCAGGGCTTCTTTCACTTTCATGTTTCCCTCTAATGCTGTGTACATACACTACAAACTGGCTTTGGAAGATTTCCCATCTCTCCAAGCCAGATTTAAGAGAGAGGGAGGAGGAATCCTTTCCCCAGCCAGATGACATCCATCAGCAGAATGGTCTCAAAGCACCAGAGTAATGATGCTTTTCCTTATGTGGAATAGCTTTCTTCCCACAGAGAGGAAAAATTATACTCTAAAAGCTTTGCAATGTATTTTAGTCAAGAATGAAGGGTCTAGGAAGGAAAGAGAAAAGAGTCCATACTTCTGCAACTTCAAAATATCCTTCAAGCACATGAGACCTTATAAAGGGCATAATGTTGGTTGATATGTTTATGTTATTAAGAATAACATAGCATTTTACTTATCTTTTGCCCTTGGTTAACTCTAAAGTTCAGGCTCCCTATCTCTGCAACACACCACTAGCCTCTGTGTAGTAGACAGAAGGATAGGCTTGGCATGAGGATGCCTTAGAATGGATGAGAACCATATGCTCATAATACATCCATTACAGTTTTCCAAAGAACTAGAACTGTCAGCAAAAAAATGATTTCTAGCACAATGAATGACAACTTTCTGAAGGACATATCTTTGTATATAACATATTGTGTATAACTGGACTAATCTAAAAGCAGAGACAATTTTGTATTTAAAACACAGAGAGTATACGGTATATTATACCACCCTCCATTTGCATATGTGTTTGCGTGTATGGTATGCATGAGTTATGACCTGTCTGTCTACCTATCTTTCAGCATATACAATTAAAATAAATAAATAAATAAATAAATATAAAAAACGGTAAAATATTTAAATGAACCAGCAGGTAACATTCTTTGGAAACAATAAGATTTTTTTTTGTAAAAATGCCTTAAATACAGTGAGACTTGGGGCCTCTTGGTATTTATTTATGAGATTTTTCTACTCCTTCAGTACAAATAACCTCTAGGCAGAGCACAGATACCACTAATAAAATAGTTGGGGAAACCTGGCAATAGGGCCCTCTCCCTCACTGCTATCCAGTCCACATTTGACAGGGATGGCACTAAGAGAGCAGCTGATCTAAAGCATGGGTCAGACTGATACAGTAAAAGTTACCTGAATGATGCCTATTCACTACTCACTGACTTCCAAATCGCACAATAACTTGAAAGCACAGATTAAATATTAATGTGAAGTATATATATACTGTGCTATAAAGAGGCATAGCAATTATCCAGATCAGTGTTTTAAAGACTCTGTACTGTTTTTTCTGAATAACAGACAAACTCTACAATGAAAAAAAAATGATTTACAATGGTTAGGTGTAACAATACTTTCTTTTTATTCTCTCATATCCTTGTATGGATAGATACAATTGCAGAATCTTTCAACTGTGCTTAGCTATACCTCCTTTAAAGACTGAATATAATTTAGGATAATAAATAGCACCCAGTCATTGTATAGTTCATGGTAATCTTGAAAATACTTATTGGATACTGACTAATTTTTACTCCCTGAACTCTTTTCAATACAGCACCAGTATGGGATTAAAGATACACATGGGGATAGAGCTGCCTAATTTTCCAAATGTCAGCACATGGGGTGTGCTATCTGATCACTTGGCACCTGATCTACAGAAGAGGCTTCTTCAAGTGAGTACACTAATTATTCACATTCTACCGCTATCCTGTTACATGAAAGGTAGGAATTTACAAGTGTTGAGATACTCAAATCAGTTCTACGTGATATAAAATCCTTCGTGATGCCAGATCCTAACAGTATAACCCCCCTCCAGCATTTTGACACTGTTCATTGAATTCTGATATGTAAAAGTTATTTCTTTAAATAAAGTATGAATAAATTATAATTACAGTTTCTGAAAGTATCACTGCTTCAGACTGCTGCAGAGAAATATCAGTCGATTTAAATTCTTTCTCAAATATTTCTTGGTGCTTGCTGTTTCTCTTTTCTTTCTTCTTTTCTTTCTTATCTTTATCTGAGTCATCTTTATCCAACTTATCTTGTGATCGAGAATGCATCTTCTTTGGCAGAAGGGGCTCAAGCACAAACCTGAACAATAATAATTTTTCTTAATATATGTACAATGAAAGCACAAGTCTTTCAGCATATTCATCCTACCTCAATCAAACAAGGAAACACACAAATACATGCATGTGTGTGTGTACAGATATATACTGTATGCACACATACTTATACATTCAGAGATTTTAATTCTCTATGATTATTTTTCAAAGAAGTTTAAAATTCAATATTGCACTTTATGAACATACATCTGTATGGCTTATTCAGTAGAACTGCAGTTGATGACATCATTATCATCATTAGACATGCTCACTCTGGCTACCTTTTCTTAAGGAAAACAATCATACTGTAATAACATCTGTATGGTTTATTCAGTAGAACTGCAGTTGCTAGTATCACTAGACATACCCCTACTGACTGCTTTTTAAGGAAAACAATTACACTGTAATAATTGTGGAAAGTGTTCCTGCTCCAGATCAAGGCACAACACAATTTTTCTGCCAAAAATTATTTCTCTATCTGCCCACTAAATTGCAAATAAGAGCATTTGCTTTCACATAAGAGTAGCCAGTTTAAACATGCTTTTGCAAATGCACAAGCATCATAATGTGTTACTGGTTCCATAATTCTTTTTTATACTGTGTGCTTTTGCATGCCAAGATGAAGAACTTATCAAAACCTACTTATAAAACTAAAATAAAGCACTGTTTCTAAATGCCTATTTTTATAATGTAGACAATGGCAAGAGTTAGTGATATAATTGTCTGGGGCAAAATCTTGGCATCCCACAAATATGCAGGTAATTACCCCTACTCTCACCATGTCAATGGGAAAGGGATTATGTTGTGTGAAACATCAAACAGAAATACTGATAAAGAATGATTTGGGCTATTGATCTAAATCAGAGTCTCCTCACAATGTATCAGATTTTTCGTGTAGCCTCTCCTGCTCAGAAAATCAGTAAGAAACCAAAAAAAAAAAAAAAAAAGGGAGATCCAC